GACAGGTGAAGAGGGGGCTGACAGAGTCCCCCGCAAATGTAACAGCCTGGAGAAGCAGGAGTCCCATGGCGGACGTGGGCACAGCCCCGACCCGTGAGCATCTGGGAGGGAGCGCGCTGGGGGACGGGCGGGTCGCGTCAGCTCCTCCCTGCGCTCGCTCGTGCTGGGGTGGGGTCAGTGGGCCTCACTTGTCAAAGTGCTCCAGCGGGTAGTGCTCGCCGTAGGTCTGGAGGTGGCGGGCCAGGGACTCCTGCTGCTTGCGGAGCTGGGCGGGCATCTCCTGATACACGTCGGAGAACAGCAGGCTGGGGCTGGGCTTCGGCTTCCGCTCGGCCTGCTCAAAGGCCTCCATCACCTGGGGACACGGGATGGTGGGCTGGCGGCCGCCAGGGCCTGCTTCCCGCCCATAGCCCTTCTGAGCCTGCGTGTCAACTGCGGGCACGGCGAGCAGGTCACGCTAACCGTGGCGCTGGGCAATGGCCACGTAGTGTCCCGGAGCCAGCGTCTCCCTCCGGGGCAGGCCAGCGTCTGGACTCCTGGCAGCCTCTCGGCAGCCCAAAGAGCAGGCCGTAGCGAGGCGGCGGCCACAGGGGACTTGCCCAGGACGACGCAGGCGGGGCCGTGCCAGGGCCGCCCTGACCACTAGGCCGCAGGGCTGCTCACCACGCCGCGGCCGAGAAGGGCAGGGCCCAGCCACGGGAGTCAGCCACATGGCAGGTGCAGGCAGAGACGGGTGTGCAGGCCCAGGCCGCCCACATCCACAGGGTTAATGGCCTCACGGGGGGGCTCCTGAGCCTCGGGGTTCGGAGTCCCCCAGATCCTAGCCTCGCCATCCTCCCAGGTTCTCACCACCCCAGAACATAGCCCAAGGCACGGGTTTCCCACGGGGCGGCCCTCACCTTCTTGCGGGACTGCTTCCTCCAGGCCTTCTCCTGCTCGTCGTCCCACCAGCCGCGGCCCTGCAGGTAGTGCCTCAGCCGCGAGATGGGGTGGTCCTGCTTGTCCCAGTAGTTGACCTCGTCCACCGAGCGGTACGCGGAGCTGTCGTCACTGGTGCTGTGGTGCCCGATCCTGCCCACGGGGAGGCGGGAGGGGCTCAGGGTCAGGGTGGGGCCCCCTGGGGTGGGGGTGGAACGGAGGGGGAAGTGAGGGGAGAAAGCAAGAAGGGGACACGGGTGGCGGGAGGGGCTGTGCCTCTGGGCAGTGGCCAGCGTGGGGAGACAGCTGGGGGCAGACCTGTAGGTCATGGCCTCGATGAGGAAGGGCTGGTTCTCGGCCACAGCCCGCCGCCGGGCCTCCTTGGTGGCATTGTACACGGCAAACACGTCGTTGCCATCCACGCGGATCGACATGATGCCGTAGCCAGGGCCTCGCGCCGCTGCGGGGAAGAGAGCGGGCAGGTGGGAGCGGGGCCCAGGGAGGGGCAGCAAGTGGGGCCTTGAGGGAAGGAGAGGAGGGGCGAACTCTCGGTCTCCGGTGCGCCGGCTGTGCCAGGCAGCCCAGGGAGAGCCAGAGTTGGGGGCAGAGAGGGGAGCAGGAGAGAGACAGGCAGGCACGCGGGTGGGGGCCGCGGGCCGTACCGATGCCATCCCCGCGGTACTGCTCGGAGGTGGGCGTGGAGATGGCGTAGCCGTTGTTCCGGCAGAAGAAAATGATGGGGCACTCCAGGGTGGCGGCAAAGTTGAAGCCGGCGTGCGCGTCCCCCTCGCTGGCCGCGCCCTCGCCGAAGTAGCAGATGACGGCCCGGTTGTCGTTGGCCCTCTTGGCTGCGTAGGCGGCCCCCACGGCTGCGGGAGAGGCGAGGGGGGCGGTGAGCAGGGCGGGGCGCGGCCGGCGCAGCAGGCTGAGGCGAGAAGGCTCCTGCCCACCCCTCCTCCGCGCCCCCGGCTGGCCTGGCCGGCCTTGCAGCGGCATCTGAGGCACCGCGTTCCTCTGCCATGGGAACGGAGCCTGTCTCCCGCCGCCCCACCCTCCCCCCGTGGGCTTTGGTTTTCACTTAGGACTTGTCAGCCCCGAAGTACCCGTGTGACTCCTTCATTTTACTGACTCTCCCTCATCAGCAGGTGAGCTCCAGCAGGGCTCAACGGTCAGCCAGTGGATGAGACCAGGCCCCCCTTCAGGGGCACGTCACCCCTCCCTGAAAGCCGCCTCCCACCTCACCCCTCAGAGGCGTGACTGTCCCTGGCTCGCTGCACAGGCCCCCGGGTGCCCAGCGCTCTGCAGCCGGCACGCGACAGCTCGTGTCGCTGCCCTAGAGGCGAGGGCGGGCGCTCGGACTGGCCTGCGAGGGGTCATCGCCAGCCTGGGCTGGGGCCCGCTTCCCCTTTAATAAAAGCCACTCCAGCTGCTCTAAGCTGTCAGGCTTCCAGACCCCTAGAGCGAGGCTTGGGGGGCTGGCGCCAAGGACTGAGGAGACCAGGTTTGGGGTCAAGAACCCAGGCTCGGGAGGCACGATAATGGCCCGGGATTTCAGTCCCTGCGTCAGATACCCGCGAGCGAGTGGCTTCCCCTCCTCGATGTGTCTAAAACCTGCTTTAAACCAGGAATGCTGCAAACACGCTCTCACAGCAAATGTGGCCAGGATGTAAGGAAACGGTGAAGAGCGGGCACCCCCAGGGCCACTGTGCCAGTCACTCCACGCGAGGGCAGCAGCGAGCGCCCGGGACGCCGGCGGGCCTCGGGGACAGGCAGGAGCTGGTGTGAGCGGACAAACGTGGGAATCCCAGAGTGTGGCATGCAGGTCCAGTCACCCCATGGCGTCTGGACAGTCCCTTCCTCCGAAGGCCCCCAGGAGTGGAGCCCTGGGTCTGGGGCCCAACCAGCACGCCCACACAGTGCCAGTCGGGGAGCCCCCCGGGGCCGGAGGAGAGACCCGCGCTCACCCTGCGGGATCTGCGTGGCCAGGGGAGAGGAGATGGTGACGAAGTGGCGCTCCTTGCAGCCGTAGTGGACCGGCATCTGGCGCCCCTTGCCCATGTCGTTCACGTTGCCGTAGCACTGGGCCATGAAGAGTTCCAGGGGGTAGTCCCGGTACATCAGCACGCCTGGGGGGACACGTCGGCAGCCACGCCCGTGGGCCCCCAGGCAAGGCCCTGCCCACCTCCCTTCCCCTGTCAGTACAGCAAGGCGCTGACCTGGAGCAGGAGGGGCCCGGGGCTGGGCGAGCCGCCCTAACGCACAGGCCTGTCCCGGGCCAACTGTCAGCGGCCCCTGGAGCCAGACGGCTCGGTGTCCCCCCAAAATCCCAGCCTTTTTTTTTTTTTAACGAAAAGCTACCTGATTATAAAAAAAAAAAAAAAAGAAAGAAAAAGTACTTGGTTTTTAATAGTGTAACTAGTTCAGTCACTTGGAAGAGCACCACATGGGTTAAGTGTCGGCCGCCAGCTCCCGTCAGGGCCAGTGAGGAAGGACTGGAGCAGGAAAGCTTTTCCTCACTCGAAAACTGGTCACGGCAGCTTGGCCAGCAGCGGGAACCACCGTGGGCGAGGGGCCTCGCCCGGTAAGGCACAGGGCAGGACAGCAGGCAGTGAGCCGCTCCTGGCCCACCAGGAAACGGGGACAGCTGTCACCCCCACACCCTGAGGGCCACGGGCGGGGGACCCAGGCACCCCTGGGAGCGGTCTCGGACAGACCCCAAGCGGTCCAGACTGACAACTGTCTGGAAAACGCTTTCCAAATCTTCCTCTGCACCTAGAACCCTTACTTCAGACAAAAATGGAAGGGGGACCACGCCCCACAGCAGCCGCAGCCTGCGCGCGCGGGCCTCCCAGAGCCGCCACTGTGAGCACCAAGCACTGCTGACCCCGCGCTGCAGACACTAACCCTGCAGGCTCTCCAGCGCACCTGAGGGGCGGGGGCGCTCCCCTCTGCAGAAGCGGACACTGAGGCTAGGCGCTGCGGCTGACTGCACACAGCTGCCGGCGGGGCGGTTCCGCTCCCCAGCACTGGGCTGTTCGTTCAGGTAAGTCGCTTGGCTCTGAGCCCTGGTGCTGGGGTTCTGCCTTAGGCTTCCCGTCTCCCCGCTTTCAAAGGACACATCACAAATCCCCGAGACACGGCAGCCATCCGCAGGCAGAGCGCAGGGAGCCTGGCTGCGGGGGTGGGGTGAGGGGGCGGGGCTTCTTCCCGTGTGGGCGCCGCCTCCCACGCGCGCTACGGGCAGGGGCGGCAGGGGCACGACTCAGAGGCCCAAGGCCCAGGTGGGCTTGACTCGCTCCTGGAAATCGCAGGTCCGATGGCACGACAGCTTTGCCAGGTGTGGCGCCTCTGAAACGCCCGCTCCCGCGAGCCCTTCCCGCCAGCGCACAGCGGACACCCCACACGGCCCCAGCTGTGCCGACTGCCCTCCCGAGGCAAGGCGGGAGGCCCGACTCCAGGACGGCTGCCCACCCCCCGCAGCCGTGAGGGCAGGCTCCGGGTCCGGTCTGCCCTCGCTCCGCCGGGCCTCACGTCCACGCGAGGTGAAATGCGTCTGCTAGCTCCAGGCAGCAGCTTGGCTCAAGAGCTCGGCACGTGCCAGCTACTTTCCTGACTTCAGGTCCCCGACCTCGCAGGCGGGGTAGCCGGCGCCCTTCAGGGTCAGGGCTCGGGTGCTGCACACGACGCACCCCACTCCACGTGCTTCCTCTGCGGCTGCCCAGACACGGCCTTCTGCCATCCTGGGCCCCACAGAGGCACCCAGGGTCCAACGGCCCTGTACGAAGGGCCTGTGCCTCCTCCCCTGGACACTCACTTGAGCCCTCAAACACAGTGGGGAGCACTCAGCAGACCTGCCAGGGCGCAGCTTGGAGTCCAGCGTCTGGCAAAATCTCCTCTCCCTGCTAACCGTGCTGAGTCGGAGACAAGACCCCGGTGTCTGTGCTCCGGAAGCATGTGGGGAGGGCGTCCCGTGCAGCTGAGAGCAGACAGACTAGGCGCCGCGCAGCCGGGGAGGCCGGGGCTCCCCTCACCCCTGGCGGGCTTCACACTGCTCAGGGCATTACACCATCTGCCGCGTGAATCCCCACGACTGTCTCAAGGAGCAGTCAAGCAACTTGCCACCATTGTACAGACCAAAAAGGAAAGGTCAAGCCTGCCCCCAGCCACCCTGGGGCTGGTTCCTGCAGGCCCCAACCAACAACAGTGAGGAGACCCCTCCTCACAGGCTGACGGGCCCAGGCCTCCAAGCTCGAGGCCCCCCTTCCTGCCTCTCACCTGTTCACTCAGGAGTCAGCTGGCTCCCTGGCTGGGCCCTGCCGGCCCTCCCCTCTGCTTCTGCTCCCCGAAGGTCACACACCTACAGAGGGGCCAGGAGAAGAGGCCAGAGGCCCCAAGCTCGCCACGCCCGCAGCTCTGCTGCCCTCACTGCAGACTCCCAGCAGCCCCACATGCAGGCAGCCGCATAATCTCAACTGAGCGGAGCGCTGAGGCTCGGAGACAGGAGTGCCGGCCCTGAGCGCTCGCGCAGGCTCTGAAGCTGTCTGCCGGCCTCCGCTCCCGACCCTGGCTGGCGCGTCTCGCTCGGCAGGTCCCCTCCATGTCAGACCCCTCTGGCCTCGGGAGAGCGCTGCTGCCCCCCGGCGCGGGCACTGCCTTTGCCCAGCTGCCCGGCCCCCTGCTCGGCGGGGCCACAGACCAGGCCTTCCGCAGACGTACCTGCCTCCCGGTACTGGCCGAACACCAGGTCCGTGTTGTCCATGGCCGCGGCGCTCCCCACGTGCGTCCCCTCCTCGCCATAGTTGGTCATGTAGAAGGAGATCCGGCCCTGGGGTGGAGGGGCCGGGGCAGGGGCAGGGTTACGCTGGGCAACGAGAGCACCACCCAGTTCCGGTCGACTTCTGACTCGGCTATCCACCGGCGCCCTGGGCCAGCTGCCTCCACCGGGAGCTGCCAGCGGGTCAGGGCCAAGCAGTGGGGCCGTGATGGGCGGCTACAGGAGAGAGACTCCCACGGGGCCTCGGGGAGACACACCTGGAGAGAGCAAACCCCACCTTTGGGGTTGTCTTCTGTGGCTGCGAGGCCAGAGAGGCCAGAAGGCAGAGGCGGCGGGCAGGCAGGGCGGTGCATCTGGCGTTTCGCCTGTGCAGCAGTGACCTGACAGCGGTTCTCAGGCTCGTCAGGCCTGAGACGCCTCAAACGTCTGTCAGCAAGGGCAGAGGGGCCGCGCCCGGCTCGGCAAGACGCGGCAGCAGGGAGAGGAGCAGAGCAGTGGGGTCTCGTGACGCAGCCACGGGGTGACGGAAGTGTGGGCGGCAGCCGGCTCACACCCAGCTGCTGGGACGCGGAGCGACGCCGGCCTGAACCCAAACACGGCGTTCGAGGCCGGACGGCACGGAAGCACAGCAGAAAGGGTCAGGCACCGGACGGCACCCTTGTCTATGAACGTAAGTCACCGGGCAGAGCAAGCTAGCGAAACAGAGTGACCAGCAGAGAGGGCGTCCCTGTCGAGGCGCCGGCTGGACACTGCGCCACCAAGAGCCACCGCACACGCGCTCGATCCCCGCCCGAGCTGACCGGCCCGCTGCTCCCCTCTGCACTGCACTCTGTCAGTCGGCCTGTTCTGCTCCCCACTCTGTCCCTGGTGAATCCTCTCACCCCCCAATCTGCGGCCTGTACCCCAGGTCTGTGCGCACATATAAATATTAAAAAAAGTAAACAGGGAGTGGGGAGGCCGGGGTGGCGTGATGGTGCCCGCGCCCTGGAGGCGGTGCAGCGTGAGGGAGGCTGCACGCCCCGGGTTACAGGCATGTACGTGAGTGGCCCATCCACAGAAGGGGGTGAAAAGAAAGCAGCAGAGGCGGCAGTGCCAGGCAGACCCTGCTGGCTGGCACTGGGTCACTCTCCCGAGGCCCGAGGTGTTTCCAGAGCCCAGAAACGCCCCGTGCTCGGGCTCCGGCCCCCTGACAGCTAGAGGCGGCCGCAGGACACGTCCAGCCAGAGGCCTAGGGTAGTCTGTATCTGGTTTCTTGATAAAAGGTCACTGCAGCGGGCATCACCCTTCTGCCCGACCCACGGCCGCCAAGCCTGGGCCGCGGCGGCCATCTCACGACAGAGGCAACAGCTCCCGGACGCCACTCGCCACAGGGGTGAAGCAGAAAGCAAAAGTCTGGGCCTCAGGGCTGCGGAGCGGCGCCAAGGACGGCTGACCCAGCCCCAGACGAGCGCGCGAGGGGCGAGGGAGGGCGGCCGGGGCGGGGTGAGATGCAGCTCTCCGCTCGGCACGTGGGCACACGGCAGTGCCCGGCTGAGAAATGGCCGAGGAGGAAGAAAGGCAGGTCTGGGAGGAAGGTGCTGAGGTCAAGTCTGGGCAGGCTGAATTCGGCGAGGACATCCAGGGAGGAGATCAGGGGCTCGGAGATGAAGCCTGGCTGATCTGGAGAGTCCCTGGCACAGATGGAAACGAGGCCCTGGGACCATGTGGCAAGCGAAGCAAAAAGAGCCCGGGTCAGCACCCAGGCATGCCTCTGCCAACCCTGAGTGCTGCAGGCCTGGCTTTCTGTTGGGGTGAAGGAAGCAGCTGAATGACGCTTTCTTCTAAGTGGGGAGCCAATTAAAAGTTAATTACCCTGCCAGGGCCAAGTGCGTGGGTGGGTGCTGGGCTTTAAGGCTGGCTCAGCCCGAGAGGGGCCCTCTGAGGAGACAGGACCTGATTCTGCCCCAGCCTCTCCCCCTTCTCTCTGCTGCCAGGCAGCAGCTCCCAGTAATGGACTCCACCTCCCAGGCTCCCCTGCAGCTAGGTGGGAACAACGAACCCTGAGGTGTCACTGGGTGGGCCCCACAAAGTGGCCGAATGAGGACTTTAATCCTCCCCTGCCACCTTTCCATGGGGTTTCTAGAGAGGCCTGCTGTTTGGGGATGAAGAAGCCAAGAAAAGAAAATAGAGGAGGAATGGGTAACATCGATGGGGGTCCTGGCGGAGCCCTGGGCCCCGCGGTGAGGTGCAGCAGTACATCACTCTCCTGACACTGCGCTGACAGTCCACGCGCCCGGCCTGCCGGGCGTGCAGGTGACACAGCACCCCGGAAGCAGAGGTCGCGCTAGGGCTGTGCGCACCCAGAATTCTTCAGCTGCTGGGTCCCCACCTGCCCTCTCCCAGCACAGCGAAGCCTGGTCCATCCTTCGGCCCAGGGGCAGGACCCTGCCACCCTTTTCTTCCAGAACCCCAAGAGGACCCCGAGAATTCTAAAGACCCGAAGACCAAGGATCTTCATCCCCTCTGTCCTCGTGGGGAGCCGACCTCTGGCCCAAACACAGGTGGGGGGGTGGCTCCGTCACCCCCTGCCCGCGCGAGGCGTCCGCGTACCTGCCGCTGGGACTCGTACAGGATGCGGTCCATGGTGTTGAGCAGGGTCATGCTCTTGTAGAACTTGAGCACCTTCTCCTGGGGCAGCTGCGGATGGAGGGACAGACAGACGTGGGGCAGCTGGGACCAGAGAGGTGGGCGAGGGGCCTGGGCAAGGGAGGCGGGGGTGGGGAAGGCGGCCGCTCACGTGGGGGTCCTCGCTGGCATTGATGATCTGGCCCTGCCGGTCCATGACGCGGTAGATGGGGATTCCCGAGATGACGTTGGGCTGGATGAACTCCAGCTTGTCTATAAATTCCGCTGAGGCCCCCGGAAACTGGGGCTTGTCATCCAGGGAGGAGAAGTGCTGTTGCTGCCTCTGGGGGTGCTGAAGAGAAGATGCGGGGACACGTCAGGAGCAGCACTGGGTTCTGCGGCCCAACCCCGCGTGCGGCAGCGGGGCAGCAGTCCAGAACCGCAGCCCTGACACACAGGCCGGACCCCCGGGCACCTTACTAGGCCTTTACGCCTCCGTTCCCCAGCGCAAAATCAGGAAGGAAGCGCAAGTGCCCATCCTGCAGGCCTGTGAAGACCAAGTCCCCATCACGCTTCCTTCAGCTCTCCCCAGGCCGGCGTGGCGCGGCTCAGAGCTGGCGGCTGTGTCGTGTCGGAGGCCCGCACTCTCTACCCAGGCACTCAAGGCTCCCCCGGGCTGGCCAGATACCCCCTCTCAATCTCCCACAGGCTCAACCCCCCAAAATCTCAGCCTGGTGGGCTCTTTGCTGACCCCTGTGACCCTGGGGAGGTCAGCCGGCTTGGCACTCAGACCCGTGAGGCCGGGCCAGCCCACCAGGGTCACATTCGTTGCTGGGTGCCCTAGGGAGGTGACTTTCCCTCTTCAAGTCTGTTTTCTCGTCTGTGAAACTGAAGACACCCCACAGAAATGTGGTGAGGCTTAAACCAGGTCACGTGCACGAAATTCCTGTTGGAGAGCTGTAAGCCAGAGCCGGCGTCAAAAAGTGTGGACTCTCCTCTCACTAGCACATCTCTTCCCCTCACCCGCACACTGCGCCTCGCGCGTCAAGGCCCTCCCAGCCCGCCCCAGCTCTCCTGGGTCCAGAGCAACTCACTCAACAAATATTTGAGCACCTGCTTTGTGGCAAGCCCTGGGCTGGGTTCTGGGGACCTAGAGACCAAGCACCTAACTGCCGCCTGGGGAGGCAGACAGACGCCTAACAAGTCAGTGGTGATTCCTTTCTCAGAAGCCGTGCGCCACGGCAGAAGGGCAAAGGGGGGCTTCTCGGAGGAAGTGAGGCGAGAGCTGGAAGCTGGACAACATCTAGGAGTTAAGGAAGAACATTCAAAGCCACGGGGAGTGCCAAAGGTGAGGCCTGAGGTGTTCCCTGTGGAACCTGGAAGGAGCTCAGAGGAGCCATGGGGAGCCTCACCTCTCCCCCACAGGAGGGGCAGAGAAGCAGAAGCGGCCAGGGGCGTCCAGAGAGCCCTCCGGACGCGCGCGAGGCGGCGACTGGGCTCCCCAGCCCGTGAACGGCCTGCGCGCTGCACCAGCTGCTCTGCGGAGCATCTGCAGACCCCACATCCCCCGGCCTGCCGGTGAGGCGACTGCTATTCACAGTCATCGCCACTATCAGTCTCACTCCCAGCTATTATTATCTACTACTGCCCACTACTGCCTTGAGGTCCGCACAGGTCAAATTATCTCTGGGCCTGGGCCGCTGACGCTTGGAACCCAAACCTATGCTCTAACCCCAAGTGCCGCTGCTGGCTGCAGTCTGATGTCTTCATTTTTTTAAGGATTTATTTATTTATGCCTATAAGAGCCGGGGTACAGGCTAGAGGTGCGAGGGGTGAGGATTCACCAGAGACAAGAGTGGGGAGCAGAAGAGGCAGATGCACTGAGCTACAGTGCTGAGGGGAGCAGCGGGGAGATGGGAGAGGTCTGCCTTGCCATGGGGGTCAGCTCCCTGGCCGGGGATCGAACTCGTGCTGCAGTGGCTGCGGACAGCTTCATAGTGCTGTGATTTAACCCGCTGCACCCCCTGTGTCTTCATCTTTTCTTCCCACTGCTCCCAGATTGTGCTCAGCTCAGTAATCACGGCCCCACATCTAACAGGAGCTGGGTTTGCCAGGGGTGCTCAAGGACCCCCTCGCCTGCCTGCAACTGTCAAAGGACGCTGTCTGGCAGGGGAGTGAGAACTTGTGGGTGTGGATCTGCACTGTGGGTGTCAGGCGTGACTCCAGGGCAGACCCCCAGGTGACTCCTGCAGGCTAGCTCCCTGGCTCCCTTCCTGCTCACCGCCATCACCGCTCAAGGAGAGTGGCCCTGGTCAGGCCAGCTTGCACAGTGGGCACGCCCCACGCCCGCTCTGCCAATAGGCGAATGGGCGGTTGGCTCGCAGTTAGCTTAGGAGTCAGGCTGACCTGGGTCCAATTTCTTAGCTCACTACATGGCTCTCTGCACATCACTTGGTCTCTCTGAAATTCTCCACCTGTAAAAGGCTGCAGAGAGCTGCTGTGAAAAGCTCCTAAGATAAGGCACACAAGGGTTCAGCAAAGGACAGACTGTGCTCAAAAACCCACTGAAAGTGCAAAATCTAGACGGTGAAGAAACAGGAAGAGAGACACTGACTGGCGAGCGGACGAGGAGAGGTGCTGGGGAGCGGGACTGACCGCACTCCACACTGGATGGCAGCTCAGAGCAGGCCCCAGACGCCTGAGGCAGAGGCGGAGGGCAGGAGCCCCGGCGACAGGCTGGGGCTAAGGCTGGGGGGGCCAGGGGACAGCAGGGTCAGGGCAGGACCTGAGGGCTGAGAGCCAGCCAGGGACCAGGACAGGGCTCGGGCCCCCAGGAAGTTGCCGCCAGGGCGCCCTGTGCGCCCTGAGCACCTGCACGGGCTGGCGGTGCCTTCCTGGGCCTGTCGAGGTGCAGGCACTCAGGCACTTCCTACACCAGGTCACTGTGTGGGGCTGCGTGAAGGGCTGACCGTGACCGGCCCGAGGAAATGCTTCATTGGGCGAGGGGTGATGACAGGCCTGCAGAGGAAGGACGTGACTTTTTCTTATGGGGGGGGGCGAGTCTGGCCTGGTGGCTGGCGACTTACAATGGCAAAGGTTACGCAGATTCACCCACAGCTGCTTGGCCACATCCTCTCCCGCCACACCGGAAGCAGAAGCCCGCTTGGGAGCCTGGTCTCCCTGGCACGCACTGGTCCCTCCTGGCCGCTCCCTGCAACTCCGAGGCGAAGGGCAAGGACCGCGCAGACCGCTGCCTCCTGGCCGTTGAGTGCAGCCCCCGGGCCTGCTCCCTCGCATGTAAACTGAAGGGGAATGAGGTGACTGGCCCCGGGCCTGGCACGTAACAAAAGCTCCAGAAAGACAAGCCGTTCACAAGCCTGTCTGCCCAGTGCTAGCCTAAAAGGTAAACGGGGACCTGGGAGGCGGCAGACGAGGGGCCCCAGAGCTGAGCTGCTCCGGAACTTGGCTCTGGCCTTGCAAGCTTGCTTGAGGAGACACTTCCCGGGCAGGTCCCCTTGCGGGGGTAACTCAGGTCCGGAGCCCTAGAGGAACCTCTCTCATTAGCAGGCATCCGTGTGCAGCCTCTCATCAGGAAAGGCAACGAAGGCCACGGGCCTGTGGCAAGCAGGGCGGAGTCCCGGAAGACGCTTCAGTCCTCCAGAACAATAAACGCTGAGGCACCTGCGGCCCTGGACACCCAGAGGGTGCGACCCGACCCGTTACCAAGAGCGGCCAATTCTCTGCCTCTGCGCTCACTGGCTGAGCCAGGCAGCCAGGCGGGGCGGCCCTGTCATTACACCTCTCTGAGGCAGACACAGCCCCCGGCCTGGAGATGGTGAGAGGTGATGTCAGGAGAGGTGATGTCAGCGTCACCACACTGCCTGGGGAAGCAGGAGGGGAGGGTGGGCCCAGCGCCCAAGGCTTTGCGAGTGATTCCAGTCAGCCGAGCCCCTGAATCTAGGACAGCTAAGGTCACCCATGCCCGCACTCTCCCAGGTCTACAGCACTCTGCCCTCCACAGCACGAAGAGCTGAGTGCTGGCTTTGCTTCTCGCTTGGGAATGTTGCCAGTCACCCCTACCTGGGAGACCGAGGCCCCCCTGAAAAGCACAGAGATTAATCAGGCCTTTTCTGGCCTCAGAGACCCCGGCCTTTGCAGCGCTCTGCTCCCCGAGACTGTGGAAGAGGAAAGGCCTGTGGGAGGCACGTTTCCCTGCACAGTCCTGGTCACAGCAGATCTATGGCCCCTGGAGATACCCAGCAGGTCCCTTTCTTGAGTCTAAGTAGGCATCCAGTGTATGTAGTAGGCGCTTCTAGAAACCGCTTTCTTTACTCCTCACCCATGTCTCTGATCCCATTTTACAGATGGAGACTGGTGCTGGTGGAGGGAAGCTTCTCTAAAGGGGGTGTTTGTCTGGCATCTGAGGAGCCACAGCCCTACAAAGGCCTATGGGTGAGGGGTCCATTCCGGGAATCCCGTGGGCTGGGCGGCTCCTTACACCTAGTTCCCCCCAGCCCGGCTAGGCCGGATAGTGATAGTTGGGATGCACACTAGAATGACACAAGACAAGAAGCAATTCTTGGAGTCCTTCTCCTCCAGGCAGCCTGCTACAATGCAAGAAACCCAGGCTCCACAGTCAGGCCATGATAATCTCAGCCTCGGTTTCCTCCCTGTAACAGAACACCACCAGTGGTGCCTTGCAGCGGGGCGGGATGAACCGTAAGTGTGAGCCGGCACTGTAAACGACAGCGTGCTTCATGCTGTGGTCAGAGTCCAGCTCGGGGCCTCCCTGGCGGCGCAAGGGGTTAAGCCTCAGCACTATGAAGCTATCACGGGGAGCTGACCCCCCAGGGCACAGCAGAACTCCCCTGTCTCCCCGCTGCTCCCCTCAGCAGTGGGTTTCAGTCAACCCACCTGTTCGGCTCCCCACTCTGTCTCTGGTGAGTCCTCTCACACCCTGCACCTCTGGCCTGGACCCCAGTTGTATGCATAAATAGGTTAGTCTTTAAAAAGAGAGTCCAGCTCCCAGGCGAGAAAACAACAAGAATAATGAACGGCCGTATACCAGAGACATTTTGCGGGGGTGGAGTGGGGAATGGGATCAAAAATGGGGGTGGGGGGGTGGGGAGGGAAGTGCACGGGATTGTGGTGATGGCACACGGGTGACTTGGTGATGGGAAACCCGTGGGGATTACAATTGAGATGGAAAAAAATGTACAAAATGATGTAAAAATAAACTGTTATAAAATAAAAATTAAAAAAAATTGAAAGTCAACAAAAAGCAGAGCCCAGCTCCCAGGAGAGGAGGCCCGCTCCGGCTGTGCGCCAGGCGTGGTGGGCACGGGCAACGTGAGGACTCTGCCCGCGCGCCGGAGCCCGCAGGGGCGGCTCGGACAGCTGCGCTGAGAACGCGACCCCACTGCTGACTTGGGGAGCTGGGTCCCTGCCATGTTACAAGACTGCAAATTTAGACAAAAGTAGAATTTCAAACTGTAGCCCCTGAATTGCACTCCCTCTTTAGGATTAACTATTAATTAACCTTCTGAATTGCACCCCCATCCCCCCTTATGATTAATGGTTAACTAGCTCCAACTGCACTTCTAGAAGGTTTGAGAAAGTTGTTTTTTTTTTTTAAGATTTATTTATTTATGTATACAAGAAATGGGGTAGAGGTCAGAGGCCTGGGGGTGACAGGACTCACCAGAGACAGAGTAGGGAACAGAGAACAGGCAGACTGGCCAAAATCCACCGCTGAGGGGGCAGCAGGGAGACAGGAGAGGTCTGCTGCGCCCTGTGGTCAGCTCCCTGGCCGGGGGAGCAAACTGGTGCTGCAGCGGCTGCACACAGCTTCATAGTGCTGCGCCACCAGGGAGGTCCAAACTGACTATATTTCAACCCTAATAAAATTCTCTACGCCTCTTTAATATCAAAAATAAACACCTGCTGACTGCTGAGAAACTCCTCCTGGGGAAGTCAAGCACCCTGACTTATAAAGTCCAAACTGCCCGGCACTCTCTCAGACCTGGAAATAGAAAGCCCCAAATTTCCCTCGCGTCTCTTCCTTCCTTCCCTATAGACCGCTGCTCTCCAGGCAGCTCCCTGCCCACCTGACACTGTGCAGGGGCCTCTTTTTCTTTCTCCTATTCCGAATAAACCTTTTAAAATGTTTTTTAAAAAAATCACTGCACTCTGCACTCCCACATTCAGGGAGCCGGGTGTTTTAGGGTATCTATCCTCTCTGGCCATCTCTAATAAACTCCTCCGTGCAGAGGGAATCCTGTCAGAGTATGGCTTTCTGCGGTCAGTGCAAGAAGCCATTTGGTCCTCACCTTCACATTGACCAAGCTCCAGGTGCCCCTGACTTTAACAGGCAGGCGCTCTGGTCACCCCCACTCCATAAGCTCAGACTGGTGAAGTGTCCTGGCCAGGGTCCCACCTACCTACCTGTCGGGGTGGTGGGGTGGTGGCTGAGAAACCAGCTAGGACTCCTTTGACAATCGCATTTCCTTCCTCCTCCTCTCCCTGAGCACTAAACATCTGCTAGCAACCGGAGCAGGAGGAAGGGAGGCAGAAGCCAGGCAAAACTCTGGGGCAACAGGGTGGCAGGAAGAGGCACAGCGCAAGGAGGGGCGGGCGGGCAGAAGGCAGCCGTGGTCCTCCTCCTAACCCAGGTGGCCCCAAGCACCCAGTCTGGCCCAGTGCACCGCCCAACCTGGCCCCATGGCACCAGCTTGTGGCTCCACCTTGACTGGCTAATGAAAGGCAGCCTTGGCCCAGAGCGCAACAGTAGTTAGTAGCTACGGCTCTGGTTGGTGCCTACAGTTGTGGACAGCACCGATACACAGATACACAGCACCTGTCTTTGCAAAAGCTCTACTGGCCCAACATCGACTAAAGGCTACCACTCCCACCCTTCACCCCGCCCCACTGCAGTGTTTCTTTTTAATCTTAGGGAGAATACACTGGATAAATAACGTGAGAAGGAAAAAAAA